TTTGCATAACTATTACAAACTCAGCAGCTCTCTCATCTGCCTGTTTTTCATCTTGATTTATAAACATCCAGCTGAGTTGTGAACAGACTGATGTTAAGTTTCTTGGTTATTAAATTTTTGCATGTTGCTTTGATGCCAGCCAAAAGAAGAAAGATATTACCTCTGATCTTGCTTCTGATGTTTGCAGCCATTAAGGAATGACATGGGGAAGCTAGTGGAAAAGATTTAGTGGAGAACTTCAATGCCAATGAGAATGGAAACATCAAATATTAGCTTAAGGTTGTCCACTGCTTTTTGTCCCACTCTGTTCCTTTCCCAAGGCATCTAGATTATTCTGCTGACGATAAGCTGCATTTTCCCCAAGCGGAAGAGGCAGCTGTACTTTGGTCTCAGAAGAGCACTGAAACGGAAAGCAAACGTTGCATGTCTGATATTGATAAATTTGGGTTCTAATGCAAAATTGCGGAACAAAGTAACGTCTTGGGTGTAAAGGAGCATCTCATTACTTTGTGAATTTCTTAATTATGGAACCACGTCACATGCAGGATGAAAGACCTTACCTTACTGCTCTATATTCTAAATGGTAGAAAAGCAACAATGTTCTTCTTTTAGCTTCTAATGATAAGTTCAGCTTAATTCAAGAGGAATTTGGAAAGCAATAGCTTTTTTTTTTTTTAATTGGGCTTTTTGTGGCTTTTGGGGAAAAAATCAAAAGTCTGGCTGTTGTGGCAGAAAAGTAGTCTGAAAGATTAATGACTAAGTGTGTTTGCACACATTTTGACAAGATCATGCTAAGAGGCCTTGGGGTTTGTTTTTCTAGAGAAGTGTTGGCAAATCTGTAGCTTACATGCGGTGTAAATGCAGCTCACATTTTAGAATCACATCATGTGACAAGTAGTGGGGGCATGCTGACACAGAAACTCTTGGTTAATAGAAATCCCTAGCTACTGAAGCAGCAGTGACATTCAGCAGGATGTTCCATCAAGTCTTGTTCAGGAAAGCTTCTGAACACTTTATCTTTTCAGGATATGTGCTGTGTACTATGTGGTTATTGTCAAAATTTTGACATGCGGCTGGATAGGCTAAAAAGATAGGCCTTCTTTATGGTAGAGGTTTACTGATCTCCAGAAGTATTTCACAGAATCAGGACTATTAAGTTTGGTGCTCTATTGAACATACTAAGCCCTAAGTTCTGCTAAAAAAAGGGATGCGCCTTTTCATCAGCTCTCATATGACTAATGCAGGGCAGAAAACCCAATTCTTTTCAGCCTCTTGATTGAACTACTTTAGGCTTTTGAAAGCATTTTTGGTTCTTCAATTAAAAGGGAATGAGTAACTAAGAATCTGTTACTTAGTGAAAGCATCTGTTTCAGTGGCTGATGCCTTTATCTGTTTTGCACTTGTGTGTTTAGGAACTACTTTCCCCTTTCTCATGAGCAGATTTTATCCAGGTTGAATTTCTAATCCCCAGATTTTGTTATGCCTTTGTTTGCAAGTGTAAGAAGCAATTTGATGTCACAAATTCTTTCTTTTTTAACGCAAATTATGTCCTTGTAACTTCCATAGCCTGTTCTTTTATTTCATTGCTTCCAAAGATTCTTACTCTGTATTTTCTTTTGGAATGAGGTTTCTGCAAGGCCTATCAGTAGTTTATTGACTTATTACTCTGGAGGAAGATCATGCTTGATGTTTGAATTTTTATTATTCATCATTGACTGTGGCTGTATTAGATTAGAGTTGTATGAAGTCAATCCAGTAAGTAAACAGGAAAAAAAACTTTTACTATAATGTAATTGTCCTATTAATTTTCCAAGACAATTTTTATCTTACAAAGACATTTTGTTCGTTTGGATAAGACAAAAAATAACTTCTCACTTTGCTGTGTTTCTGGTTAATGTATTATCTTTGTAGTTAAAACTGAAGACTGCTTTATCCAGTGCTTATTAAAATGAGTCCATATATATATATATGTATAATTTCCTTGGAAGAGTGTATTGTTTTTGCAATTGTCTCTTTTATCTTTCTGAAAGAAAAATCACCAATTACTTTTTATCTGTTTGACAGACAATCTTGCATGTATTTGACAGATAAGCTACTCTTTTTCTTTCAAGGTACAATTCTCTCTTTTGTTCAAAATTGCATCAATTGTAAAAAAAATTAGAAATTACTGTATCTTTTTTCAAGCTTTCAAATGTAATATGTTACAAAAATCGTGAGCACTTGTATTTATTACTGTATCTAAAACAAAGGAGTGCTTAGTATTTTCAAACTGTATTTGTTGTAATTGTCGATGTAATTATTTTATCTAGTTTAGAAAAGTTATTACTTACAATTAGTTCTTAACTCCTGTTAAAATCTTTTGAGGTCAGTGTTCCATGTATATCTTTAGCTTAAAAAAACCCAATTGCAGTGGGTATAGACTTCTCTGAACCGCTACTGTTGTGATAATTGAACCTCTAGGTGTTCATATAGCATAATTTTGAGAATGTTTGGTCTGTGATACTAAAATTACCTAAATTGGTGGGTTTGATTGTTTTTTACCTCTGAGCAGGAGCTATATAGTTGAAGTAGGATTAGTAATAATACTTAACTCCATTGTGTTTTTGTTGGTTTTGTTTGTTTGTTTTGTTGTTGTTGGTTTTGGTTTTTTTCAGTAAAAATAAATTTAGTAACTACAGGGGCACGGGACCCTGAGTTGGCAATAATTTTGATGTGATTCAGCTTAGGCTTTCTCCTTATAATTATCTCCTCAAAGGAAACCAAATGTTTTTTATTTGAAAAAATGCCAAGTTTTATTAGAATAACAGTTAGGATAATTAACATTTTAAGTAGTGCAAACTCAGTGAATAAGGAAGAAAGAAGAAAAGGAAATTTTTTTATTTTACCAAATTTTTCCCTGCCTACACTGTCATTGTGAGTCTGCTGTTGCTTCTACTTGGTTGCAGTTAATTCAGTGACTTTAAGCTGTGAACTGTGCAGTGCCCTCTGATCTGCTGGAAGATTTTCCTATCATGTCAAAGGTCAAACAGCCTGTTCCCTGCTCCTTGCTGCAATTTCTTTATTGGGTTGCAAGCTCCTGTAATGGAATTTTCTTGATTGTCATACTGCGCAGTTTCTTGAATTCTGGATCTGAGCATAGTCATGGTATCTCCAGGGAGTGCGAGTTGTCTCTCTTTCTCTACGAGGCCGTACCTGATGTGATCATCTTAGAGAAGCATTGAATTGATTGGGAACAAGCAAGCAGAATGCCTTCTGCCCCCCTAATGCTGTCTCTCAGAAAGAATGGAGGGCACATTTGATGAAAAACTCAACATGAGGTGGCAGTGTGTACTCACAGCCCAGACAGCCAGCTGAACCCTGGGACACATCAAAAGAAGCGTGGCCAGCAGGTCGAGGGAAGTGATTCTCCCCCTGTACTCTGCCCTTGTGATACTCCACTTGGAGTACTGTGTACAGTTGTGGTGTCCCCGACATAAGAAGGACATGAACTGTTGGAGCAAGTCCGGAGGAGGACCACAAAGTTGATAAGAGGACTGGAGCACCTCCCTTATGAGGACAGGCTTAGAAAGTTGGGACTGTCCATCCTGGAGAAGAGAAGGTTGCGTGGAAACAGTATCACAGTCTTCCAGTACCTGAAGGGGGCCCACCGGGAAGCCAGAGAGGGACTCTTCACCAGGAACTGTAGTGATAGGGCAAGGAGTAATGGATACAAATTGAAAGAGGGGAAATTTAGGTTAGGTGTTAGGAAGAAATTTTTTGCTGTGACTGAGGTTAGACACTGGAACAGATTGCTCAGGGGGGTTTTGGATGCCCCAACACTGGCAGTGTTCACAGACAGGTTGGATAAGGCCTTGAACAACCTGGTGCAGTGGGAGGTGTTCCTGCACTTGGCAGGAGAGTTGGGACTACATGATCTGTAAGGTCCATTCCAACCACTTAACATTCTGTGATTCTGAAGGTCTTACTACACTTCACAAAAGGCAGGCCTTGGAGCAATATGTGTGTTGTCTCTAATAAATGCTAAAATGAGTAAAGAAGAATTTTGTTTTGAGAGAGAATTTGTGTTTTTGGGTTAAGAAGTTATGAAGAGAGCTTATGGTTTTTTGCAAAATAGCAGGAACTTTCTTGAAACTTTGGGAGTTTTATTCTTCTCCTATGGGATACTTTTAAAGAACTATTCAATTTATCTGTATTTTGTTTTCTCCAAGTCTCCAGATTTGTACTTTCTCCAGTTACATTAGATGATTATTCTAGTGACTTTTAATATTTTGATTGCAAGAAAATTAATTTTCTTTACAAGGTTTCCTTAACATATTTATATTTTTTATAAATGATAACATATATGAAAGAACATCAATACACTTGTATTCATTTTATAAAAATGAAGGTTAAAAATAAACATTCTGTCCTGAATTTTTGTTTTTTATTTTTTTCAATGTGAAAGTTAGATTGGTATTTTGAACAGGGAGTAATGCTTGGAGATGGGGAAACAATTATTTGACAAAACTGCTAAATGACTGAATTGCTTTAATTGATTATGCAGATTTATATCTTGCGTTCAAAATGTATAACATCTTTCAGCTGCAAATTTGATAGTATCTGTAAATATTAATGAATCAACTTCAAACACAGGTTTGAAGTTGGCAAATATTAACAAGGGAAATTGGGGCCTGGTGAGACTGACTTGTACAAGTCACTCATTAATTCAGTACAGACCCTAAAATATTCTTTGATTTAATTCTTTGATTGCTAGATCACATTGTATCAAGCTAGATACAATGCAAGATGGTAGTTAAAAATATTCTGATTGAATGATTTATCTTTGTAGATAATCCATGATTAGTTAAATAGCAAGCAGAAAATATGATACTTTAAAATTATACATTAGATTCTTTCTCGCTGTTATGGTACAAGAGTAAATCAAAAGGAAGATTTTTTTTAGAATGTGAAATACTTTTGTTTGAATGTGAAATTAAAAGGACTTTCTTTTTTTCCTTCAGTTACTAATTTCACTGACTGCTGGAATAGTGGAATTGCATGTTAACCTCCAACCTCCATGATGCAGTTGTGTTTATTTCCTGCTGTTGTGGAGAGGGTAAGCTGTTCTTCATATGTTACAAGGTTATGATTTTAAAAAAATTACTGCTATTTATGTGAAAGATAAAGTATGTTGTACCATTTGCATGCTGTGCATTTTAGAATATTTTTTTCACATCAAAATCTATAAAAGTGCCTTTATTTCATGGAATCACTTTATAGCTGACTTTTGAAAGTATCTCTGGAGATCTTCTAGTCCAGCACCACTGATCAAGTAGGATCAATTTGAGTGAGTTGCTCAGGTCTTTGCCCAGCCTCCAGGGATGGAGACTTCACTAACTCTGTTTACTGGACTTGCACCAGTATGACCATGTGATGTACTAAATACAAAGAATTTAGTACTTGTGGTCAGTGCAGGACAGTAGAAATATTTAAGAATATGTCCTTGTCAATGTTATTAAATTCTTAAAGAAGCCAGATAATGAGTAATTTAGTGAAGAACCTTAAATATCCCAAAATGATTTTGTTTGTGGCATTGTCAACTAGAAGTGTGCAAAGAGCTAAGGTTATAAAGACATGATATAAAGCCAGGAGTATATATTTATTGGTGTCTGTTGAGTGTAAATGAGAGAAGCATGAGGAGATTCAGTACCAAAGTGAAAAATACATGTAACTAGATGCAGTTGGATGAAGAGAAGACCTGGGTAATATTTACCAATTTGAACATAACAAGATAATGTAAAGGAATATAATAAAATACAAAATAATATTAGAAATTCTTTTGAGATGAAAGAGTTAAGACCTTGTTCATTAATGGTACCAAGATTATTATTCTGGATAAAAACTCAGCTATTTGTGGTAGTTAGGGATCACTGATAGAGGAGGAGACCTATAGAAAATAAGTGCGTACATTCCTTAATTACTTTCTTACATGGTTCTGATTGAACTTAGACTTGTAAGGGAAATTACATTTACTATTCTCTCTTCAGTTCGTCTGCTACACACCTTCTTAAAAACTTGAAAAAAGCAGTAGCAACCTTGGTTTGGTGATTTCTGTCATGTCTTCACTGGTTGTCAGTCATTTTAGGGAATTTATTGCTGCTACTTGGGTTACAAATACAGCAACTCTGAAACTGTTAATAAGCTCTCTGTTTATATTCTACATGTGTTCATCCTGTTGACTTTATTTTGGTTGCATCAGTAAATACTGACTTCCTAAAAGAAGAAGAAATTTGGCAATTAATCCAAAGTAATACCAGAATCTTCCCCTACATTCTTCTACTTTGAATGTTTTTTCTGTATTATAATATGTATTCTGCTAATGCTTCTAAATGAATCTTAAGATGACTCTTCTCAAGCTGTTAATCTTGCTTTTATACTCTAGCTTTTTAATTGCTCAACTTGTAGTAATTTACTTCCTTCATAATCTCTGTAAGTCGGAAAAGTCATCACGCTTCCACACTCAGTGACAGAACCTCTCCAACCAAATTTCAGGAAGGATAAATCTCACTGCATCTTTCTTCAAAGGTTGTTCTTGTTGGTTATGATTTGTTTTCCAACCGAATTAAATTAGTGGGCCTGTAGCTTTCACACAGTTAAGGAAGTCCCTCAGTACCACCTCTTCCTGCCAGGGAGTTTTCTGTGATGAAGATCCAAAATTGTAGTCTTTGAAGACTTCAGTATTGAATAAATCTCCACTTGCAATGAAATTGAAAAGGGTGGTGAATTCCATTAACAAAATGTTAATTTGATAATAATCTGCAGATTGTGTCATATGAGCAGGCCATATTTATTTATGTAAAATTATAAGGGAGCATATGAAGAGAAAATCACTCAAATTGCTCAGAGCAATCCATACAGATATCAAATTAGGCTTTACAGAAAGAAACAGTAGTAAAGAGGAAGTTGTGGATGTAGGAGTAAATACTAAGCAAGTTTCATGATTATATTTACTTATGTCCTGTACATGTGAATAGAAGTTAAGAAGAAAAAAAGAAGTAATTTTATACACCAATTATACATATGTAATACTACAAATTTTATGTCCTTGTTCTAGAAAAAAAGAGGAAATGGATAGTTTTTATGGGTAGAAAAAATATACCTACAACAGTGAGTTTGAATAGGAAACTAAAGGAACTTCATTTTGGGTATTTTTAGAACACAGAACATTAATACATGCTCTGTGAATGGGTTTCTGTTCTCCAGTTGAAGAAAATAATAGATACAATTTGTATGTTAATAAAGGTAATTAAAAAGTTATAGATGAATGAAATACTTTCCTACTTGTTTCCAGTCAATAGTCTAAAAATGTTTGGAACTAAGTAGGATAAAGTCTTTTGGGATTGATGTATATGAATGCTAGAATTAGAAATAATTACCAGTCCTGACTTGATCACAGTAGTCTGCAAAGCACAAAGACAAATTTTGAAGAAATGAGAATTAACAAAGTAAAGGTAGATAAAAATGGAAAATTAGATAAATGCAACACAGATCTGATGTCAAAGATTTTTTTCTCTGTATTATTCTGGGTTTGCTTACTGTTTCAATGAGGTAAATTTCCTAATGAAACGCAGTTTGGGAGAAACTGTGTATGTAAACTCCCTTTCAGCATTTCTTGGCACATAGAAAGTTTTGAGTATTGAGTGAGAGAAAAGGTAGATGAAAAGTGAAATCATTCATTGGAAAAAGAAGTAGCTAAAGGGATGAAGTGACAGGGACTTGTGCTAAAAGGAAGAGTATTAGCCTGGAGGAGACACCCTATTAGTGCGGTGGATTACTTGTGTAATTAATTTTGAGTGTCTTCAGTAGTGACAATGTCACAAAAATATAATAGATTATAATGAAATTTAGGTCACAAAGTAGAAGAGTGTTCTAGTGGGGGTCAGAAAAATGTACAATAATTTTTTATTTGGGATACTGGAGTGGTAGAATGGGATAAAATGTGATAACACAAAAGGATGAAGGATTTCTGTGTATAAGATAGGACCTTATAAATTTGAAGAGAGACAAATGCAAAAAGATTTGGTGGTATTATGTCCTTGTAAAATGGTTGCTGACTGCCAGAGTAATGTGGCCAGGGAAGACAAATCCCATTCTAGGATATATTACAGGAGGCAGGTCCGAGAGAGAAAAGCAAGTATTTGTTTCATATGCGACACCAGCAACACCTTGTGTAACATATAGAATTCTGCTTCAAATACTCTCGTAAGTCTTCATAAAGGATGCATTGCATACACCATGAATAATATTTGTAATGTTTGCTTATTTTTATCAAATGTTACAGAGGCTTATTACCTGTTACTTTTGTCCTTTGATCCTTAGTTTTATTTTAATATCGTAAAAGGATTATTTCGTTAGGTTCTAATCCTTTGTCAGAGATTGTGCCATCACATCATCATTATATGGAATTGGAAAGTTGTTTTAGTTTTCATTTTTGTTAGAGCACAGCAGGCCCTAAGTACGGTAGCATGCTCTCCTAAGAAGATAATTTTTATGAGTGGAATCTTATAAATACTAACTTTACTTACTTAAATTTACTTTTAAGTGAAACTAACAAGGTTGGGAAGGTTCAATCTAAGTTGTATGTACAGTGTAACATGCTTTGAGTGTTTCAAATTTAGTGATAAGTCATTGTGATAGCTCTTAAGTGGAGTGAATTTCATGTTTCATATATCAAATTGTAGGTGATGAACATGCCATTAAATATAGAGCTGTATCTGTTAGCTATAGTGAGGTGTGAGTATTACTAAATGGGTAATTTTTTTTCTTTTCAACTTACATAAGGTATGCTTTTTTGATTGAATTTAGGTCAGTAGGTATTTGAACCAGAAGGAGACTTGCTTAGTTCGTTTTCAATTTAATCTAAAATAACTTGAAACTGTACATTACTGAGAAAAATTGTACTGCTATTCTGGGGCCATAATTCTGAAGAGCAAGCAAACAGAAAGAGCGTACAAAAGAACATCTCAACTGCATCACTGAATTTGTTACTGAAAGCATGTTTGGAATAGTAAGTTAATAAGGACCTTATTTAAGTCATGGGATATGTCCTTCTGTTTGAAATTAAGTATTGGGCTATTCAAGTTTCTAATTTGTAAGTACCTTTTAAAGCTTTAAAATAACTAGAAGGCTTTATGGAAGAAAGATGTGGAAAGGTAGTATGTATTTATTTTTTATTGATAAATCATTTATTCTATGGCAAAATAGCTTTGACATTTCTCATTAAGGTATTGGTGCTACACTTCAGTCTCTTTTTAGTTATAATTTTAATGAAGTTAATGTTCTCTTTACGGTTTCCTTTAGTCATTTTGTAAACACTTGCATTGAAGCAATGTTTTTAACCAAATTTTCCCTGATAATTTGGTAACAAAACATTTTCATGTTCTTACAATCAATTCTGGCTTATGTGTATAGTATGCACAATTTGATTTACCAATTAAGACTTGAAGCAGATCCGTATTTTTATGTAAATATTCTGTCTTCTCTTAATGGAGTCTAGATAAATTTGTGACACTAACCACATTTTCTGGACTATGTATTTGGATAAATTCAGATGGTAGCTAGGCTTTTATAAATGGGAGATGATTTCCCTGAGAGATCAGATTGAAACCCTCTTAAATGGGTATAGTGATAAATTTTAAAAGAAAATTAACATGAAAGATTGCTCTAGAGCTGTTGGGGGGAATAGAGGAATACATTCTTTTTCAGTCTGTATATCCAGTGTAAGCCTTTTGAAAGAGATAAAGGAGATACTTTATTACATTATTTTAGAAAGTGACATTATACAAATGTAGTCAGCTATTCTCAAGATCCCTTAGAAGGGAAAATAATCTGAAATCGCAGGGAAGAAAATGTAAATTAGCTAATTGTCAGTATACTATGTTTTGACGTGCTTATGCACTGGAAAATGCAAGGGTATGGATAAATCCAATCAAATGTAAGACAAGAACTTCTGGTAAATCTCAGGGGATAACTAGTAAATTAAAATACATGGCTTCCTCTGGTAAAATAAAAGTAACATAGTATTCTTAGAATAAGGATTCGTCACTATATAATAACATAAATTTATAATAACACTAATCATTGCTATTTAAATATTATTCTGTCTTCCACTTAATAAAATATATTGATTGGTACTGCTCTCCTACATCTTTTAGGTTTGATGGGTTCTTATTTAGATGCTCAGTGTCAGATGATGTTCATGACCAAGTTTGGTATGATTCATGTCAGGTTTGAATTACTGCATTTGTTGGCTGCTGCTACAATTTTTTCTAACTTGAGGCTCATGTGTTCGGTCTTGGCAGTCCTGAGCTTAGTTTATAGTATGAAAACTCATAAGCAGCTGTAGAAAATTAGGGAAGTGTAAATATTGACATAACATCTTGACCTTCTGTCAGGCAGATATCTGTGGTATATGTCTGTATGTGGAGATCTTTCAGAAATCTGACACAAGCTATAAATTGAAGAGTTATAAAAATGTGATAATTTTTCCTTTTTGTTTCCCTATTTCAACTTTTATTTCTGCTAGTCTTTTGTGTATTATAATTTGATTTATGGACTGAAATAATGAATGGCAGAATCATAGAATGGTTTGGGCTGGAAGAGACCTTAAAGATCATGTTGTTCCAACCCTCTTACCACAGGCAGGGTTGCCACTCACTAGATCAGGCTGCTCAAAGTTGCATCCAACCCGGCTTTGAACTCTTCCAGGGATGGGGCATCCAGGGTTACTGGATGCCTCATCCCTGGAATGTCAAATACTTTGACATTTTGCATTCCCAGAACAGTATGAAATAGAAGAAATAATGTGAAAGCCACATTACAGTACAAAGTCAGTTGTTGAGATTTATTAGAACTCATGTATAATTAGATACACCACATTTGATGTACAGGCTGACTGTTTAATGTTAGTTCAGAATGTTCTTCCTATTTATTCAGCTAGTTTGGCATCTTTATTTTATATTTAACCATGACCTAACTTATAAAAAGATCAATGACATCAGCAGAGATTGATAGAAATCAGATAAAACCTGTGAGGACTTGGTTGCATTTAGCCCAATGATGAATTGGTGTTTTATAGAACTACCAATCACAGATAAGTCCATTGCCAATAGCCTTCAAAGTTCATCTATACACAACTCTACACACTGATTAATTGATTTTTTTCTAATTTTTTTTCTTCATTAAACAACATCTTGATGACCTTATGATAATTGCTATCAGATTTTTTACCTCTTATTTTACCTTGCTTTCCAAATGATTTATGAATATATCAAACTGTATGAACTCTACCATGGGTCCAGAGAGGTCCCTGATCATTCTTTCAACTTAAACATAGTCTTACTGTACGTTTCATCTCTTTTAACTCATGATGAACTTTCTTCTTCCATGCGGTTTAGGTTTTTTGAAACATTTTGGGGACCTTGTTGAATGTCATTTGAAAATCCATGTTGACTAGATCAACAATTAGGATTGGTTCTCTCTTGCCGATGTGTTTGTTTATGCCTTCAAAAGACCTTCAATAAAGTTATGAGGCACAATTTCTTTTTAAAAGCCATTTAGTACTTTTTTATTTTGATTACATGCATCCTAATGTCTGCAGATTTATTTCACCTTACAATAATTTCTGCCAGTTTGCCTGACATGAATATAATTTTTTTCTGCCCTGTAGCTGCAGGAATTCCTCCTGTAGCCCTTACAAATAATTCAGTTTAGTCTTTTAATTTTCCATTGCTTTGCTGCATGGTGATTATAAGTAAGATGTTACACACTACTGTTAATAATTAAACTACTGCATTCTTTAACTTCTTTACAACTGCTGGAAGAGTACCATCTCTTCCTGATGACTTGTTATGTTAATTTTGTGGATTTGTTTGATAGTCTGATCTACTAGCACTGTTGTTTGAGACAGACCAACACTTCCTCTGGTAAAGAAGGTACCTGATTTGTGAGCCTACTTAAGCTCATGTTTTATAAAAAACAGATTAAAAAAAAAAGAAAGTCAATATTTTCCTTGCAAAGTACTCTATAAACAGTTCTTATATACTCTCATCATTTGTGGACCCTGGAGTCTCTAGTAAGCTACCTACTTTGGATAAAAGGTTTAGTATTAATTTTTATGTGGTTTATATACCAGAATTTAGTCTTATCTACCTAGTCACTTGACCATGCTTATAACTTTTTATTAGGATACTTTCTTTACTAATTATAACAGTCACCTTTACTTCTTGTTTTAATTAGAAACATGGTATCTTTCCCCTTGGTGTGAAGTCCATTTCTCTTTTAAAACAGTTCCCTTTCTTAAATTTAATCACAACTGTAGTGCAGTTTATACTTTGTTTCTCCTAGGAGGCAGTCGTATCTGAGTATATTATGCAGACTGTTATAAAGTGGTCCTCCAGCAGAAACTTTCTGATCAAAGTTCCGCAAACTGCTTATGATTAAGTCAAGAATTTTTAACAGTAGTTTTTCTCTTAAGCAGTAACTTTATGGTGTCTGCAGCATCTGTTTAGTCTCTATTGCAATTCCCAGTATAATATTTACCCAATCAATAGAGGAATATTTAAAATCTCCTATTATTTTTCCTTTCCACTGCTATCATAGACTTTGTGATTTCACTTACCGTGTTGCAACCACAGTCAAACATTTTCTGGGTGATTGTTAGTATAGATATAAGAATGCACTTTCTCACTTAAACCTGAAATGTCAATCCATCAGTTTTATATTTATCATTCTGGCAAGTAACTAGGCTTGCTTTGCTTATACCCACAATCCGCTGTGGGTTGGGAATGGCTTATTCTGTTACATGCAATGTGGGTTCCATTTACTTATACAATGATCCATGAAGATTATTGGAAAAACCAAGGCAGTCCCATGCTTTTGCCAAGCTAAAGCAAAAGCTATATACAGCTTTCTTAGAGATCTTTAGAAAATGACGTGCCCTTAAAGTGGGCTTCTGACATTACTTTCAAAGAAAACTGATCTGCTTATAACTCCCCTTGTCACAGATACATTAGGTGGAAAAACCTGACAGGTACTACAAATATTTTCCATTTCATTTTCAACTTTCAGTTCAAATAGTTGGTCTTGTGTACCGTCTTATAAGTCATAAGTGAATTTTTTTTGCCTCTTTCAAACATATACAAACAACCCCCCTTCTAAAAGATAACTAGAGAAATTTGTGAGCGTTTTCAATACTATGTTAACGTTATTGTATCTGGAAATGCATACTCCTGGAAATGCATACTCCAGGCATATCTCCATAAGTGGGTCAGTTTGGAAGTTACTGCAGTTTGGGAAGACTTTTCTCTAAACTTGAAATGAGTTGGAACAGGATAACTAAATAAAATTAAAAAGAAGCTAAGGTTAAAGAAGAATTAAACAGAAAAGAGTAATTTGAGAGAGAAGGTAGGTGTGGATATCATCTCAAAGGAAATACTGTGGATTTATAGATCTGAGACTTCAAAATATGGGTTATTTTGGAAATTGAATATGAATGACATATATATATATGCCTTTTAAAAAAGGTAGGAATTTTACATTGCTGAGAAAGGAAGTGAAGGGAGAAGTACTTAAGAAGATTTTAGACATGCTGTCAGTTAAAATCTGTTCTAGATAGAATGAGGAGATTCTTACACTCATTAAATGATGTTTTGCCAAGTAGAAAACGAGTTGGGGTGATTTTTCATTTTTTAAAATGCTGCAGTGTTTTTATATGAGAGATGGTATTACCTTTTGATAATTTTTTTGCATTTTTATAGTTTAATAATAACTTATCAAAATGGGTTTGATAGTTTTAGAACAGTAGAGAAGTGTTTCTAAAACTTAGGTTTCTAAAACCATGCCTGGTTTTCAAATACTTGCAAATAGCAGAATATGTTGTTACAATGGCTATAACTCCTTTGTTACAAAGTGGAAGTCATGGTAAAAATGGAGAAGAAAGTAAATAAAAGTAAAAAAACTGAATATGTATTTGTAATTAAATAAAAGCTATTTGTTGATAGTAAAGGAGACTGTCGACTTTACCACAGAATGATTTTTGAACTATTTTAATGTATAAAATGACACATAAATTAGTAAATATTTCTCTTATAAAAAGCAGCGTTTCTTCTGGGCATTTCAAACCCGGGATTAATTGCATATTCTTTGTCATTCATTCGTGAACTCAGCTGTTCTGTGGAAAGTTAAAAGCTTATTTCTTTGTCTCTGTGACAGAAAGTAGTAACATTGTCTATTATCATTCCTGAATGTTAATGACAGTACATTTAGCTTAATTGCAATCCAATATATTTTTACATATCAGAATTATAATTTCAGATTTTTTTATTTTTTTTCCCACAGAATATAAATGAAGAATGATGCAATATTAATGATTTCTATGTACAGCCTTATAAGAATCTTCTTTAAGGAGTTGCAGTAAGATAAACACTGAAAATAATTTTTCTCTGGTACAATGTGGTGAAGCAGAGGAATTGAAATTGTCCACCTTTGTACAAGCTAAGGACTTAAAATGTTTGTTATTTTGTGAGCAGAAGCAGTTCTGGAGTGAATTGAACTTCTGAAAATGCGGCCATGGACTGGTTCCTGGCGTTGGATTATGCTTATCCTCTTTGCTTGGGGAACTTTACTCTTTTATATTGGTGGACACCTGGTACGAGACAGTGAGCACCCAGATCACTCTAGTCGTGAGTTATCCAAGATCCTCGCTAAACTTGAACGGTTAAAGCAGCAAAATGAAGACTTAAGGCGGATGGCAGAATCTCTCAGGTAGGATCTAAAAGTAATTAAAACTGTTCAGAATGGTTAAAAATGAAATATCAGAGATTAAATTGTAAGGGTTGTACGTGGGATTTTTTGTAAAATGGTATTTAACATTTAGAAGTATAGATGAGTGTTTTAATCTATGCTATAGTAGCTGAAAATATATTGCAAAGCCTTTAAACAAATAATGTACATTTAGTTCTGGTCTAATGTAGTTATTATTTAACAGTCATTATTTAATGGTGTGCAAGTATTACTGTTACAATAACAGGTTCTGTAGGTGATTCACCTCTCAATGCCAACTTCAAACAAATGCAATTATTATGATATTTGTACAACTTAGAACAACTAGTTCTTTACACTCTGCATGCAGTATCTGGAAGAGCTAATTTTAAAAACGCTGAAAACATTTGTACAACTTGTTGAAGATAAGCTGAAGATGAGCTGCAATAGATTGGTGCATTATATGAATTTTTTTATCTTTTCTTCCTTGCTGCTAAACTTGTAGAAATACTTGTAAAGTAGTAGGATCATCTCACTTTTTATAATTATTTATTAGATTGTAGATGGTTACATTTACAATTTACAGTGTTTTCTTTCACCTTTTCAGACAGACAGCTTTTAACATAGACTTATGATATCTCCTTTCTTAAGAACTTGAAAGGGAAAGCTGCTTAGGCAGATTGGACCTAAGTTTGTGGACATCACCATGTGCAACGTAAAAATCCTGGTGGATCATGGGGACAAGAGCAGGTAGAGAAGGTAGGAAGGTAGAGAAGAGTAAAGCTCAGTACAAGATTTTTCAGAACGGGAGGGTAATGTTTATTTTAAAAATCTATAAATGAACTGAATTCACTTACTGTCTCTTTTACAACTATGTACTCACAAGCACCAGGAGATGTGTGTAGCACTGGTGTGGCCAGGATCACCTGCATAGTACATGGAGAGCAAGGGGCACTGAAAGTTGAGTCTTCATCATGTCCCTTGGTTGCTCCTTGCTTGGCAGGCAGAGACTGATTTTGGACTTGCCTTTTAATACTCTCTAGCAGCAGATGACATTTTGGATCTTCTGCCTTGATGTTTTGCTTCATATTTCACAGGAAAAATTATAGAATTGCACAAATGTGTTTTCTTTACTAGGGTGTTGTAGGGTTCTAATCCTGTTTTTGTTACCTTATCTTTAAGTCAGTTTGTTTCCACCGTTCATTTAATGAAATCACACATGTGGACTGTAGCAGTGAATTGAATACCTTTCCTCTTAACCCTGTCCTGATGTTTCTTCTGGTGCATTCTCTCTTTCATGAATAACCAGGGCTATTTGATCTGGTAGGCTGGGTAGGCTTCCCTGCCTTGCGGAAATGTTTTCTCATTGCACTTTGTTCCTGGTTTCTGGAATGCACTGTAGATGAGGCTTCTTAGCATAGGAAAATGTCTTAGTTTTGAACATGTCATCACTGAAGAAATACCTCATCATTCATGTGCTGCTCCCCAGAGGTGGAGAAATGCTGCTGACCCAAGTGCTCTCTGTGGGGAATCTCGGCTGGGCCAGGACCCCTGGTATGGAACAAGAAACTGGCTGAGAATGGAGGCCCTGGTCCTGACAACATACTGATGCATCCTGAGAGAGCAGAGGAGCAGCTGGAGAAGAGCTGTCCCGTGGGAACAGGGAACACTGTCTCGTGAGAACGAGGACTTGTTTTGAACAGAGTGACTGAGAAAAATATAAACATCAAAGGAAAACAGGGACAGGTGCACAGAAATGTTGTGAGAAAGTAGGACTGAGAAAGTCCAGAGAAAGTCCAGCTAAAATCTACCTATTAGCTGTGAGAACTGTAGTTTGTGTATGTAAGCTGACCTATCTGTGTGGTATATGTGTACCAAAAGAGCTGTATTTAAGAGGCTGTAAATTGCAGCTTGTGGCTGCTGCTGCTTCATTTCTTTTCCAATACACTTTCTTGCTGAATATTATATGTCGTAGTCCATCCCAACAACGACAGCTCTCTACAGTAAGAACAGATAATCTTCACCTTGAGTAATGTGGCCATAGATGGCTGAGTGGGCTGTAGTTTTCTATGATCAGTTTATTAATAAATGATAACAACAGCATTGGCAAAGCCTGTAATATATTTTTTTGACAAAATGGTGTAATGTAGAGTATGCTGATATGATGAAATTTAAGCAAGATCCTGTATTTGAATAAATGCAGTCTTTAGCTTTCTTAACTATTAGACAGTAATAGTGAACCTTAGGGTTTCTTGCTTCAGAGGGGATAATATTTAGCTTTGAATGTGAAGATTACTACCCTCCAGGCTTTCAGTCCCCCATGTTTGTCTGACTTGAATAAATGATAATGTGTTGTATTGCACAGTCATTGAAATATAACCTGTTCAAGTTACACAGTGACTAGAAGAGAGTACATGATTTTACGGATGACAGGGTGCTCTTTTCCTCTCAAGACAGACGCAGTAGAGACAGGAGATGTTAAATAGAGGCTAAACTATACTTTAGGCAGGGATGGTTTTTCTAGATACCTTTCTATAGTTCCCTAACTTTATCTATATTCAAATAAATGTTATATTTTTGGTGGGCAAGTTTTATATAATAGGTTATACTGTTGATAATGATTTCTAAAAATAGAAACATTAGTTTATTTCTGATCTAACCATGTTAGAATAAAACATTTCAGCATTCCTTCTCTATGCTTCAGTTAGTTGCTTCAAGTTTCTAGAATTAGATTAGGTGATCCAAAACTGTGTTAACAGGACTTTGTTCAGCTTCTTTTTGTGAATATGTTGTTTAAAAATATTTGAGACCTTTGCTCAAAGTGGTTGTATGTAACCCCGGGTAAATCTGAAATTCTTGCATGAGAAAGCCTAAATGATTTTAAATACCAGTTTGAACAGCCACACATTTCCAGCTTCAGTAGTTAGGGCTCTCCAGGAATGAGCCAGTTTAAACTGGAAGATTATCAGGCCTATTTTTTTGCTGGAAGTAATCTGAGATTGATGAAGTAGTAGACTTTGAGGGAAGTGATCTATGACAATATAGAGCCAAATTCATTATTTTTATTGTGCCAAATTCATGATATTATTTTCATAGAAATGTCACAAATAGTTTTGAGAAATATTCTGGTCAACCTCCATTATTAAAGTATTAAATCATGAATGTGATACAGAATTTCATTGTCTCATTTCTTTGTTTGCCAGATAGAGCAAGTTGTGTTGAAAGTAGCTATTAGCTTTAAAATTATCCGACTTACCGTTTTATAGCAGTATGTCTATTTAAAATGGGGCATTAACCAACAGTCCATGGATTCAGTATCTGTGTCCTGGAAAAGGTCACTGCTCCTATGAGCATACATTATAGAAACAAAACACCTATTAACTTCAGAAATTGAATTAGACAGAAAAGATTACTTTTGCTCTGGTTTACATCCTAAAGTGAAGACATAGTTTGGTTTAGGCTTTACTGATCAGAAACAGAAAGGCTGGAATTATTACTTGAATATGATTTAATTGCCAGAATTTTTGGTTTTGTGCTGAAAACTCTATTTACTGATACTGGCTGTGAACTCTGAGTAGTTAAGGTGAGTCTCTACACCAGGGTAACTCATAAAGGTAAACTCTCTTGCAAAGTTTTATTTTGTTATACTGAGGTAAAATCTTGCTTTTGCTGCCCTGCTCCACTAAGATTTTACATCTAGAGAACAAAGCAGCACACCCTTTGTGGTTAAAATATACAATATATTATGGTATCCAACATGCTGGTGCATGAAATGAAGTGTATTTCAATTAAGAATCTAACTTAATGTTACTTGTGGAGGAGTTTAAACAAGGTGAGAGTGCCTACCTGTAAAATTGTAACAATAAACAAACATCTGAGTAACTACACTAGTTTTGACACTATTAGATAAAACTTTTGGATGATAAAAAGCTCCAAGTTAACAGAGTTTATCTTAGTGGGAAAAGAAGTTTCGTGAATGGTAGAAAATTATTATAATATCTAGCTGTGCCAATAATAATGGCTAGTTAGGATAGGGAGGAAGGGATAGAAGGCAGGTATGGTTACAAGAATTAGTAGTTTATTGAAAGCATAAGTTGTTTTTTCATTTCCATTTTGAAGTTAGAGGAAATTGCTATTTCATCTTTAATTACATTGGGATGTTATTTATATGGTAAACTGTGTGTAAATACAATACCTTTCAATTGCTTGGAATTTCCCATTATTATGGGTTCCTGTGACTTCTCTGACATCCTTCTGATAAAAGTGTCAGTCCTCTAGGATGGCTGAAAACAGGAGCTGGGCTATGCTTATTTTCATTCAACCATCTATGAATGCCAACATACAATGACAAGAAGTGATCTTTCCACCCCGAGATTTGAATCCTCTTTTACTGCCAATTTATGTAGCAGCTCCCCAAAGACAACAACAGCAAAAAAAGAAAACCAAAAATGTGCCTTATGAAACACACCTTATGTGCATGCAAAACTAAACATTCAAAAGTTAAAAAATTTCATGTATGCAAGAAAATTTAAAAAAATATTATCCCTTTTTTGCTCTATGATACTTAAATCATGTCTGGTTTTTTAATTTTTTCCCCTGGTTTCTTCTTTTCACACAGGATGCATGAGGGGTAGAATTTTAGGACAGGGAGAGGTATTTTTTTGGGTTATTTTGGTTTGTGTTTCCCTCCCACCCCAAGCATTTTTGTGTTTGATTTCACAAAATACATCATGTTCTCTTGATTTTATGATTTTTTAAAAATTATTTATAATTTATTACCAGTATTGGTTAAGAATAGTTCATATTTTTGTACGGATTTTTGGGGAGCGTATTTTGAGATACTTATTTTCTAATATGTACCTTTGCAATAGCGCAAGTTGGAACACTCACATCTTTTTGAAAAGTGCCTGAAATATTGAAATATATAAAAAAAAATTCTTTAGGAACTGAGTACACTTTTGTGGTGCACTCCTGATTACTTGTAATGACTTCAGGCACCACTT